TCTGCAAATTCTCTTCCTCTGGGTCAGTGGGTCCAGACCCCCTGAGTTACTGGAGCATGCCCCAGTGGACGTGTGTTTGCTGTTGCAATGGTCCAAGCGTTCACTGAACCCTTATACAAAACTCAAAGACAGTTCTTCCCTGTAAAGAACATTATGAAACCTTGTGAAATCAAACATTTGGAGGTTAGATATGCCCACGTAAAAGCTTCCTGTGCAATCTTAATTTCATCTCCTCTTGCATATGCTTTTTATATATTCTTGAAGTACACAGCAACCTACTCGTCTTTCCTTAAGACCTGCAGCCCCTTCAGTGTAGAGACTGGACCTGCTCTGGCAGGGAATCAGTTGCTGGGGTTAGGCACTTACTTTGTTCAGGACTTCTGCCTCTTCTCCCACAGCTTGGAAGGTGTATGGAAGAATGAGTCGGGCAGATGCTGGAAGGGCAAGGGCAGTTTTCTAGATACTCTTCCAAGAAGTAGGTTTTATTCCAGGCTACACCACAGAGGCTCCTGTGCGATGCTAAGCAAGTACCAGGTTTCTTAGCGTGTTATTAATGGCATTTTCCTTACTTCGTGGGTTGCCATTTAGAGGAAGGCTGAGCTCTCTTGCAGGTTTGGAGTCTGCATGTGGTGCATTTTGAGTGGCAAGTAAGTGCTACATTAGCATATGTACTCTGAAAAGGCAGAGCTGAGATTCCACAAACTGAGATTCTAAAAGTGGTGGGTGTTTTTGACTTTAATCCCTCTCTGCCCTCATTTTGCCATTTGCAAAATCACTATAAGCCAATTAATAGCTGTGAAGCACTAAAACATAGAGTACGTTAAAAGTTCCTGAGGAAATGAATCATTCTGTATATAGCAGAGTTCAAATGGGATCAGTACGTAGGTCAGAGTCAAACACCGAGCAAGAAGGGTGACATAACGTACTGAATAGTGGCTCATTAGAAAGGCAGTGTCCATGCAGGAGCTAGGCAAGACAAAACCCATGTGAAAAAAGTGAGGCCAGGTACTGAAAGAGCTGGGTTACTACGCCCATGTGCAGAGGGAGCAAACCTAAGGCTGCAAAAAGGCACGCTCGCAGTTTGGCTTTGCAACCTCTGTAATAGTCTCTTAACCTAAGATGTCTTTTACTTTTCCCCTTTGGGTAAAAACAAACTTTAAAACTTCCTCGTGGCCTCCATCTTATTAACACCTATGTGTCTACAGATGCAGGATGAAACGAAAGCATGTAACTTTCCCCCTGAGAGGACAACGGGGGCTATCGAGCACTCGATGAGGCAGTGTGAGACGAGAGCACCGTACTTTGCCAGGTGACTGCGGGGAGGTTTGCAGGATGCAGGGGATTGAAGAGGGCCAGGGATATGGGACCCCTCCACGGTCTCCCACCAGGATGTGGCCAGGGCAGCCTGGCCTTTCTATCCATTTCTTCCAGCTATATCCCTTTCTGTTTGTCTTTAACCAAGGTCCTCTCTCAGACCCTGTCTCCTGTCTCCCCTGTCCCATCACCTGTCCAGCTCTTCCCTTCTGGCCTGGCGGGTCAAGTCCAGATCTCTGCATTTGTGCTCGTGTCTGGTTTATGTGCCCAGCTGTCCCTGTCACCACGTCTCCCGTCTCCACCTCTGCTCCAGCCTCTGCCCACTGCATCCAGCTCCAAGTCCTCCTCCCCAGCTCCCTGGTTACGCTCTGGCTCTCCTTGATGAATAAAACACCAGCTCCGATGGGTGAAGACCAGCAAAATTTTAAGCACCTGAGATCTTTGCACCTGAGGCATTTGAGGGTGCTCCCGTCTCTTCCTCTCACCTCCAGACTGCTGAAGCTGAGGAGCGATGGGGAGGGGTAGGGAGCAGCCGGGTCAGCTGCCCTTACTCACAACCTGGCCTGCAGGAGAGACGTTCCGTACTCACCAGGCAAAACCAGAGAAACCCACGTGGCCAACATCACACCGCGAGTGGTGCCTGTAGCTGCCGGAGGTGTCACCTCTGCTGCCTTGCCCGCCTGCCCAC